TGATGGCTTAAAGATAAGTTGTTAATATATCTGTACATGTATGTGATGGCTTTAATGAAAGATAAGTTGTTAATATATATGTACATGTATGTGATGGCTTTAATGAAAGATAAGTTGCTAATATATATGTACATGTATGTGATGGCTTTAAAGAAAGATAAGTTGTTATATATATGTACACGTATGTGATGGCTTTAATGAAAGATAAGTTGTTATATATATGTACATGTATGTGATGGCTTAAAGATAAGTTGCTAATATATATGTACATGTATGTGATGGCTTTAATGAAAGATAAGTTGCTAATATATATGTACATGTATGTGATGGCTTTAATGAAAGATAAGTTGCTAATATATATGTACATGTATGTGATGACTTTAATGAAGGATAAGTTGCTAATATATATGTACATGTATGTGATGGCTTTAAGATAAGTCGCTAATATATATGTACATGTATGTGATGGCTTTAATGAAAGATAAGTTGCTAATATATATGTACATGTATGTGATGGCTTTAATAAAAGATAAGTTGCTAATATATATGTACATGTATGTGATGGCTTTAAGATAAGTTGCTAATATATATGTTCATGTACATGATGGCTTAAAGATAAGTTGCTAATATATATGTACATGTATGTGATGGCTTTAATGAAAAATAAGTTGCTAATATATATGAACATGTATGTGATGGCTTTAATGAAAGATAAGTTGCTAATATATATGTACATGTATGTGATGGCTTTAATGAAAGATAAGTTGCTAATATATATGTACATGTATGTGATGGCTTTAATGAAAGATAAGTTGCTAATATATATGTACATGTATGTGATGACTTTAATTGAAAGATAAGTTGCTAATATATATGTACATGTATGTGATGGCTTTAATGAAAGATAAGTTGCTAATATATATGTACATGTATGTGATGGCTTAAAGATAAGTTGCTCTATGTATTGTTTATTAATAGAGTGGTTAATTTGTGTCACTGTAGGATTCCTGCACTAGTGTATCATAATGATGTATTCATTGCTTTCTGTGAAGCTCGTAAAGATACTGAATCTGATTGGGGTAATATTGATATTATCTCACGGCGAGGCCGGAGATCTGGAAACAAGATACGATGGGAGAAACCTGTAATTGTGGCCAGCATTCCTGGCTACAGGTCAGTAATCATTTGTTTTGTTACATGTTGTTTGCTGTTCCAAAGTACGAAAACTGCCTGGAATATAAATTTGGAAGTCCTCTGTCAATGAATCTGTTTCTAGCCATTTTTCAGATCATTGAACTAGTTTTTTTCAAATTTGGTAATAAAAAACATAAATACATACAAACATTTATGCATACATATATACATTTGGTTTGTGATTCAATCAAATATGGTCACCTAGCAGCAATTTTGGATTTACAGATAGTTTAAATCTGGGTTTGTTAAGGAGGGGGGCAGCACAAAGTACACACAGAGACGGTGTTTGGGTACAGTAGGGGGTATTTATTACTAATCTAAAAACTCACATTACTACTACTGATGAGATCAGTGGTCTGCCCCTTTAACCAACTAGTGTTGGAAATGTCAAAGGCGACAGTTCAATAGTGATATATAAATCACTTGTAAGGCTGATCCAGGGGAGACCACTGGTAACTGTTGTATGTACTACAAACCGAAAACACTACGAATGAAATTCCCCCTTAAGGAAAAAAAAGGAAAAACAATCTCATAACTGGCAAGAAAACAAAAAAAACGAAAGTACTGTCAAGTTACAAAGAGAATAGCAAAAAAACTTTCTACAAAGAATGTTCAAAGGGAAACCAGAATTCAGCAGACTTGTAAATGATAAAAGACAATAGGAATTAATGTTACATAGTTGATAATATAAAGACTGTAAACATTGCAACAGAAATATCTCAAAGCTGTATATAATTAGGAAATGCAAAAAAACACAAAAACAAATCACAAATATTATACAATGTCAAGGCATATTAAAGTAAATATTAAATGCTGTAAATAGCAGTAACAAGAATCCCTTACAAGCCAGGGTGGGAAAAGGGTGGGTAAGCAGAGAAAGCACTGTAAACTTGGCGGCTGTAGCGATCGCAATGATATTAGTATCAGGGGTAAAATCTCTTCTCTCGGAGTTCTCCACACGTGTCAGGGGGGGGGAAACTCGTCTCGTCTCTCTATCTCGTCCCCTTGAGGTACGGGATCGGGAAAGTCACTTTAACTTTACAGTCAAATAAGACACACACAACGAAATACATTTCAGCTCTCGTCTTAGTCGATCTTTTGGAGCACTCTATAAGACACAGCGCCCTGGGGAAAAAATCCCCAAGACTCTCACAAGGCTGAACCAAGACTCGCCCAAGACTGGACTGCCTCAAGGCTCGCCCCTGGACTGGACTCTCGACTGCACTCTCTCTACTGCGTCTATCGTGCTGTGCTCCCCAAGACCAACTCAAACTCTCTTTATTCATTTTCAAAACTCTAACCAATTACAAAACAGTAAAAAGACTCTAGGACGTAACCTTCAATCATAAAGCCAATCACACTAAGTACTGAATACGTCATATCTTTTGATTAATCGTTCACTACATTAATAACTATGGATACCAACTGTCAGAATCGCGACGGTTATCTGGTAATTAGTTCCAAATCACTGAGCCAAGTTCCGTCCAAAACTTCAAATAGGCCTGAACGATGACAGACATAACACAGCAATTCGCTCGTAATCAACTAATTAAGTCGGTTAACAGATACGCAAAAACAAATTCATGACATTAGTTTGAAAATGCCACGACTTGTGAGTTAGTTTATTTACTTATGTTAATCCTCGATTAAAGGTCACAAAGTGGGTCTCTGATTCGTTGATCAATATCTTATTTGCATGTGACCCATGACCTGCAGGCAATAGGCCAAACCCTAATTTAAAACTGGTTATATCATAACCATGGAGGTAGAAAAGCTTTTCTACCTCCATGATCATAACCAAGCCTTAAGGTAGCGGGACTATTATTTGCATACTTGTTTTCATCTTCTAATTGTGACTAAATGACTACAAATAGACCCGGGAAAGTATATATTTTTAGAATCGCCAGACTTCAAGCTTTTCACAAGTGTATTTTGCATGCCCGTATCTGCATTCTACGACACGTTACTCAACCAAAAGTGAAAAATTACTTTTTCTGTAAAAAAAATAATTACGCATTTATGCTGGCGATAAGAAGTATTTTTTTCACTTTTCCTAGTTGTTCAATAGTCTGGTAAATTGAATGTGTCTGGTCAGTTTTATTCAAGCAACGCGTTTTAAAAAATAGTGTGCTGAGTTT